AGGTAGCTGAAGTCAAGAGCTGCATGGAAAAAAAATTTTATTTATTTATGCTTAATAGTTTTGGCGTAATCTCATTTAAAAGTTAATGATCTGTAATCTTAAATCAGGTGGTCGGAGACTTTTGACCGGGGAGTGTACAAGTAGATCATTATGCGTGTATATACTATGCGCATATACGTACTATGCGCATAGTGATGTACTATGCGCGCATTTGCCCATCTCTAGTTGTGAGTGAAAACACTGCTCGCCCGCTCTTAGGAGATATGTGAAAAACCAGACGACTTTCTGTCACAGTTCTGCGAGTAGCTATTAATTAGCCTTTATGTGTAACTAGAGATGGAAATTGAGATCTCGGCGGGTCTTATGAAGTTTATAGCTGTTTTTACAACTAATATTATGGGGTTATGGTGATAAAATTTCGGGGACTATATAATGTTACATTTTAAAATTATGAGTTTTTGTTCTACCAGGAGTATAAAAAGTGAATCCTATCCATTAATAAATAATATAAAATAAAAACACATCACGAATTCCATTTCTTTGGAACACGCGCAATTTAAATTATTTGCAAAATTAAAATCGTTTGCGGCCGTAAAGTCAATGGAGTGGTGTTTTTAATATGATGCTAGAAATACATGTGCATTTATTAAGAATCTAATATTTTTACAACAACATTAAATGTTCGCTCTCACCTCAAAAAAGTAGTGTAACTCAACACAGAATTAAACAATGACGTATACAAAACTTTAAAATTAGACACATTAGGACAATATGCATTTGAAGAGCATAGTCGTCTCATTATTATTTAGATCTGCAAACAGGATAAACTTTAAAGCTCGATCAAGCATTTTATATGTATCCGTGATTGGTGCATTGTTAAACTGAGCAAACAACGAAACAGTTCCTTTCGTTTAGAAAGAATTATAAAAAGAATCAACACTTCCTCTTCATACAAATTCGAATTGCCTAATAACTGATGGCACAAGAGTTGCGAAGTGATGTTATCCATCGCGTTCTTGATGAATCGAAATTCGTTCCAGAATGCCAAGATAGCATTGAAAAATCATGTGGGTGTGTTAAATACATTGAGTCTAACTCAGAATTGACAGATGCAGAAAAGGAAAGAGCAAAACTTCTCATTTATATGAATAAGGATATAGAAAATTTGATACGAATCAAAGGTTCTACGTATCCTTGTAAAGTATGTAACAAATCCGGCTATACGATGCTAAACTGCGAGCATTGCATGCGGTCATGTCTAAAAAGACAATTTTCTAATTGGACCTCGGGAAATGATATAATTGACAAAATGATTCAAGATGCACAAATGACCTTACCAACTCCGCGCGGGTTTACTGAATGGATACCATTTTCAGACTTTGAACAAGTGGCATATAAGACACGTGGCGGTTTCGGGGAAATTTTTACAGCAATTTGGATGAAAGGGTATGCAAAAGCATTCGACCAAGAGAAACAGGAATATATTCGAAGCGGCCCTTTTAAAGTCATTTTGAAGGTATTAAGTAAATCCAATAAACCAAATGAGAATTTTTTGAAGGAGGTTAGTAGTTTCAAAATGGATTAATCCATTGCAAAATTTTAAATTGCCTATGCAACATTAAATTAATTTTTAAATTCTAGCTACAAACGCATCTGACATTGACTTCAAATGCCAATATGATTGTACCCTGTTTGGGAGTGTCAAGACGTCCCGAATCGGATGATTATATTCTCGTCTTAAAAGAAATGAAATACGATTTGCGTAGTTATATTCAAGAGAATTTTAAGACATTAACATGGCAGGATCTGTATCATGTGTTTCGTTATATTTGCAACACTTTAAGAAGATTCCACCAAGCAAATATTGTCCATCGAGATTTGCATAGTGGAAATGTATTAAAGCGTTTTGGCGGTTGGTATATTGCCGATCTTGGCCTTTGCGGTCCAGCGGATAAAACAGAAAAAGATGTTTTTGGTATTTTGCCATATATAGCGCCAGAAGTACTTCGTGATAATAAATATACCCCTGAAGCAGATATTTATAGCGTTGGGATGTTAATGTACGAATGCTGCACTGGAAAGCTGCCTTTCTATGATTACAATTGCGATAACGTGCTGGCGATCTGTGCCGGGATGCGGCCGCCCATTCCTGAGGGTCTTCCCGAATCGTATGTAAAAATGATGAAGCGATGTTGGGCTGACAATCCATCTATGCGTCCTACCGCGGTTGAGGCCTGGGAATTTTTCGGACAGCAAATTCAAAAGCTTGAACCTATGGAATTGGTATTCAAAGATCCAATATATATATCAGATCGCCCACTTAGTCGTGTTTATCAGTTTAGTAACCTACTAAATTCACGCGAAGGTAAGAAGGAATTTGTAATGTATCGGATTTGCCAAAAGTATTTTACCTCTACAAGTGTAATTTTCAATTCTTTGGTGTTGCAAAACAGATTACGATTTTAATATAAATTTGGATGAAATTAACGGGAATGAAAGCTTTTCAAGTTTCTTTCAAGAAAGTCTACAAATTCATGACGAAAGCATTCCAGTAAAATAATAGCAACTTCTCTTCGTTAGAAAAGCGGTAATAATTTATTTAATGCTTTATTGACTCAAAATATGAACGTACACGTCATCATCGATGTTATATTCGTTTGCGACATTGTCTTATCAATTTTGATCATCATCCAATAATTTCAAATCATATACAGTACATGAAGAAATTGATCTATAACTCGTTAATGAAAAGAAATATAAACATACCATTAAGTAGAGCAGGTTTTGCTGATTCTAATCATATAAATTTTATTTAAAGGTAATATGTGAATTCTCTCAAAAATATCATTCAAATAACCAGTTTTATATAATTTCTCTTGTCCGGCATGTTGGTGTATTATTAAATATGAATATAAGAGAATATAATATTTGTACTAATACAAATAATCTTGTCAAATATATTAAGTAAAAATTTTTTGCTTTACAAGAGGCCAACCATATATTCATCATGCTCTTGCTGAATCTGGTATCCAGAGTAAGCATCAGGATGTCTCAAAATCTTAAGAAATAGGGATAAACGTAAACTGTCGTTGCGCATTTAATCCTACCAGCCCAACCATAATCTATAATTTTAATATCTACTTGATCACTATCATTCCCCCCTTTTTTTATATTCCTCAAATCACCGTGCACAAATCCAGAATCATGCATTTTTTTAACTGCTTCTTTAACAGCGTTTTTGACTTCTATAGGTTCGCGTAATGAAAGACATTCATAATCTTCTAAAAACTCCATTACAATCATATGCCGTTTGCCCGGAATTCTCTGATAACCGAAAAGCTGAGGTGCAATGCCCAAATTAGCGCAGGCTTTGTGTGCTTCTACTTCGAACCGTCCTACAAACTTCACAAGTAGTTTCCTTGGTAGGTGGAAGTTGCCTTTCTGTTCAACAACAAACAGTAATTTGTTATCATATAGTTGCTCGAGATAGTCAAATTGAACTTTTGTTTCATTAGAAATCTGGGTGAACGTGTTGATATACAGTGGCTGCCAAAAGTTTTGCATCACACGAATAAAAAAATAAAAAATGCAATATTTTATGTTTCATATGTTA